TGATCAGCCTCCAGAAGTGTCCCACAATGCCTGTTCTAGCCACTCTGGTCATCACTTCGAATTCTACTGCCCTGCCCTCAGGTGACCAACCATCAGACCCATCCTTTAAATTCTCTGGGAATTTTGAAAATCCCCTTTCTGTTCGCTCAGCCAGGCGTGGAGTGCTCTCAGCGCATCTTTCCAGGTAACCATGCCTCCACATGCCCCAGTATGGAGCAGAGGCGAGGTGCTGGACCTCATCAGTGTTTGGGGAGAGGAAGCTGTCCAGTCCCAGCTGTGCTCCAGCCGTAGGAATTACGATACCTTCGGGCAGATATCAAGGGACATGATGGAAAGAGGCCATGACCGGGACACACTGCAGTGCAGGGTTAAAGTGAAGGAGCTGCGGAATGCCTACCGCAAAGCCCGCGAGGCAAACTGCCGCTCCGGTGCTGCCCCCGTGACCTGCCGTTTCTACAAAGAGCTGGATGCAATACTGGTTGGCAACCCCACCAAGAACCACCATGGACACTTCAGAGCCCAGTTCACCAAGGCAGGAGGAGGAGGAAAGCGGGAGCAAGGGTGCTGAGGCAGAGGAAGACACCCCGGAATCCCTAGATGCATGCAGCCAGGAGCTGTTCTCAAGCCAGGAGGGAGGTAGCCAGTTGCAGCAGCCGGTGCCTGGAGAAAGACAAACACCAGAGGAGGTTCCCGGTAAGCGGCTTTTATTTTGGGAAGGAAGTTATTCAGTGCAGGCTCTTGGGGCAAGGAGGGTTAGGGCTGCATGCATGCCTAGATGTGGAATAGGGTGTTGATGCGCTCTCTCACATTGTGGTAATCGGCCTCAGTGATCTCTTCAAAGGTCTCATCTAGAAGGTGTGCAATTCACTTGTGCAGGTTCCTTGGGAGCACTACTTTACTCCTTGTCCCAGTCAGGCTAACATGTCCGCACCACTGTGCCATGACAGGCGGGGGGACCATTGCTGCGCACAGGCAAGCTGTATATGGGCCAGGCAGAAGCTGCATTGCAGTAGAAGACCCTCCCTTGCTTCCCAGGTCACCCTCAGCAACGAGATATCTTCCAGGATGAACTCCTGTGGAAAATATGGGGACAGTGTTCAGTATAGGGGCTCCCTGCAGCTGTTGGCTCTCCCCAAGGCACAGAAACCCAGAGGACAGTACGGCAGTGAAACGATCAGTCCCCCTCGACTCTGTGCTTACTCACCATTTGGGGGCTTCTGTGGGTTATGTGTGCTTGCTTTGGGACAGGAAAATTCTGCTATTGTATAGACTGTGCTTGTCTTTAAGTACGGGCAAATCATTGCTCTGTCTGGTGTGAATCAAAAAGTGCAGGAGTAGAGGGAGAGTGAAAGAAGGTTCTGCCAGCAGAATGATGAGCGCTAGTACCAAAGTGCAGAGCGCCGGCAACAAAGCACGGAGCAGCTGATAAACATCATGGAGCGCCAAGCAGACTCGATCCAGGCACTCATAGCCATGCAGGCGGAGCACTACCGTGCCTGCCCCCCTCCCTGCAGCCCTTGTCCCAAAACTCTTTCCCTTGTGCCCCCATGTCACCTCCAACCCACTTTCCCCAACATCTGGGTTCTTATCGCCACCAGCTGCCTCCAACACTTGTAGCTTCACCTCCCAGCCCTGCAAACTACGACCCTTACTCACTGCACACAACCCCCATCACCATGCATTATAGCGATCCTGAAATGCAGCACTCATTGCACAGCACTCCAGACAGGAAGGCTGAGTATGAGAACAGGACATATGCAAATCTGTGATTGAACCACTCCCCACCCCATCCCCTTTCTCTTTCTGTTTCCCAAACAGTTGTGTTTCTTTTCAATACATGAATTTTCTTTTCAATAAATGATTTTTTGGCTTTGAAAACATTCTTTATTCTTGCATAAGGTAAAAGATACCTTAGCCCAGGAAAGCAACAGGCACTGCAAGTCAGTGTAGCAAGTACAGATTCCTACTAACATTGGAACCACTGCACTTCACTCCCGTGCAGGGCACCAAACATTACTGGTGGCTTTCAGCCTCAAATTGCTCCCTCAAGGCATCCCTAATCCTTGCAGCCCCGTGTTGGGCCCCTCTAATAGCCCTGCTCTCTGGCTGTTCAAATTCAGCCTCCAAGTGTTGAACCTCCGAGTTCCATGCCTGAGTGAATCTTTCACCCTTCCCTTCACAAATGTTATGGAGGGTACAGCACGCGGATATAACCGCAGGGATGCTGTCACTGGTTACGGTCCAGCTTCCCATACAAAAAGAGCCAGCAGCCCTTTAAATGGCCAAAAGCACACTCCACAGTCATTCTGCACCTGCTCAGCCTGTTGTTGAACCACTTCTTGCTGCTCCCTGTGTAGGGTTTCCTGAGCCACGGCATTACAGTGTAAGCGGGGTCTCCAAGGATCACAATGGGCATTTCGACTTCCACTACGGTGATCTTCTGGCCTGGGAAAAAAGTCCCGGCTTGCAGGTTCCTGAACAGGCTAGTGTTCTGAAAGATGCGTGTCATGCACCTTTCTGGACCAGCCTGTGTTAATGTCAATGAAATGCCCACGGTGATCCACAAGTGCCTGGAGAACCATAGAAAAATACCCCTTCCGATTAATGTACTCGGAGGCTAGGTGGGCTGGTGCCAGAATTGGAATATGCGTCCCATATATCACTCCTCCGCTGTCAGGGAAACCCATTTGTGCAAAGCCAGCCACAATGTCCTGCATGTTACCCAGAGTCATGGTTCTTCTGAGCAGGATGTGATTAATGGCCCTGCAAACTTGCATCAACATGATTTCAACGGTCAACTTTCCCACTCCAAACTGGTTAGCGACCGATCGGTAGCTGTCTGGAGTTGCCACCTGCTTCTCCACTGGCAAGGCAGCTCTCAATCTCATGTCCTTGCTCTGAAGGGTGGAGGGGTGAGCTCATCACACAATCCCATGAAAGTGGCTTTTCTCATCCGAAAGTTCTGCAGCCACTGCTCGTCGTCCCAGACTTGCATGATGATGTGATCCCACCACTCGGTGCTTGTTTCCCAAACTCGAAAGCGGCATTCCACAGTGGTGAGCATGTCCGTGAATGCCACATGCAATCTCGTGTCATATGTGTTATGTTAGTCGATATCATCATCGACTCCAAGGAGTAACTCGACTGCCAAACGTGACATGCTGTTGAGACCCATCAGCATATTCCTCAGCACTTCGGGATCCATTCCCGCAGAACGAAAGGGAAACAGAGTGCGCAGTACAAAAAACGTTGAAAGATGGTGCCAAATGTGGACGGAAGCACAGGGATTGCTGGGATGTGAAGCAATGCATCACGGGGCATTGGGACAGGACCCAGAATGCCCCCCCGCCCCATTCCCACAAGCCACAGCACCAGAATGGGAAGAGGTGCTCTGTGGGATAGTTGCTCATAATGCACCACTCCCAATGCCATTGCAAGTGCCGCAAATGTGGCCACGCCAGTGTGCTTGCAGCTGACAGTGTGGACACACTGCAGCGCTTTCCCTAATGTGCTCTCTGAGGGCTGGTTTAACTCACAGTGCTCTACATCTGCAAGTGTAGCCATGCCCTAAGGGTATGTCTACACTTACAGAGTTTTTGTGCTGTAAGTTTCACCGGTGATAGGTAACCGGGGGAAAGTAAAACGCTGGTTTGTGTACTCACTTAATTCCTCAGGCATCAGAGTGTTTACATTAGTAGCACTTCCATCGCTGATGAGAGCAGCACACTAGGGCTGCTATCCCACAGTACAGCTCTCTCCATTTTGACAATAGGTCTTGTGGGAAGAGGGTGGGGTGAGCGCAAGGCATTCTGGTCCCTGCTCAGTGCCCTGTGATGCACTGCTTCATGTCCCACCAGCCTCATTACTTCCTTGCTTCTTTCACGGCATTTTTTAACACCCCTTTCTGTCTGGCTGCTTTCCCCGCCACATCTACAAGTAGGAATGGATCCTGCTCTATTGTCCACTGCGCTGATAGCTGTCACCTGCACATCGCGCGTGGCAGTGCAGCTCTTCTTAAACTTCCAAAGAGAACTGCAGTCAGAGCTGCCTGATGAGCTGCCTGAAATGGAAATAAGTAACATTCGATTGCTTTTGGCATTAGCTGAGCACTATGGAACAGCTAGGGAAACTCGCTCAGAGTGGGGGGATCATATCATTATGCATGTCTGGGATGATGACCAGTAGCTTCAAAACTTTCGGATGCAGAAAGCCACCTTCATGGAACTGGGTGCTGAGCTTTCTCCAGACCTGCGTCGCAAGGACACCAGACTGAGAGCTGCATTCACTGTAGAGAAGTGTGTGGCAATTGCATTGTGGAAGTTGGAGACAACGGACAGTTACAAACCAGTTTGGAGTGGGTTGATCGACCATTGGTGCCGTGGTAACTTAAGTGTGCAAGACCATTAATCACATCCTACTGCGCAGGACCGTGACTCTCGGTAATGTGCGTGACATTTTGGATGGTTTGTAGAAATGGGCTTCCCTAACTGTGATGGGGTGATAGATGGAACGCACATCCCTATTGTTTCCCCGGCCCACCTTGGCACCGAGTACATAAATCGTATGTCGAATGTACATTTGGCCATTTGAAAGCACGCTGGAGATGTTTGTACAGTAGACTGGAAATGAGTGAGGAAAATATTCCCATGGTTATTGCGGCGTGCTGTACTTTACATAACATTTGTGAGGGGAAGGGCGAAAGATTTACTCATACGGGGAGCGTGGAGGCCGAACCCCTGGCTGCTGAATTTCAGCAGCCAGATACCAGGGCTATTAGAGGGGCACAACATGTGGCAGTTAGGATCCAAGATGCCTTGAGGGAAAAGTTTGAAAATCAAAATCATTAAAGTTTGTTGCTGTGCTTGGGAAAGGAAGTGTTAACAGCATGTGCTGTGCTACATGGTGGTTCTGTCTGTAATTTCAGTGAAGATGAAGTGCTAGTTGACTTGTAGCTGTGATGACATGTAAAGAAATGTGAACTCACAAATGAATCTTGCTTCTTTTTGAAAAATGTGTGCTTTTTATTTAAAAAAAAAAAAGAGAGAAAACACCATATGCACATATATCCATCCTCAGTGATGGTGGTGTTCAGGGTGGGGGGCCCGTATACCTCACAGCTGTGTGTAACGCCAGCTGTTGTTTGACAAGCTGTCTGGGGGTGTGGATTGTTGAGGCATGGAAAAATTTGCAGTGAGCCTATAAGAATGTGCAGTGGGAGTTTGGGGAGTGCATGGGAAAGAATTCTGCACTTGCTGCAATGGGGGGCGGGCACGAATCAGGTCACTCGGCAGTGTAATGAGAGAATGCAACCTATCTGTCTGATGCTCCAGAACGCTGATTAGCCTCCCCGTGGCTTCCCTATGGAATGCATTATTCTCTTTTTGGTCTCGGTTCTCTCCCTCTTTCCAGTTTGTCATGGTTTCTCTCCATTTATTTTTATCATGTGTCTCCGCTTCAGAGTGCAGAATCACCTCACGAAACATGTCTGCCTTAGTGCATCTTGGCCGCTTATGTGTCACAGACGGTCTGCTACAGTGAGGGGTGGGTCTTCCACAGTCATTTCTGGGGAGACAGAAGCAACACATTGCTGTGAAACATACATACAGGAATCACTATGTACATTGCAATATACCTAGGGTTACCATTCGTCCGGATTCCCCCGGACAAGTCCGGCTTTTTCGGGTTAAAAATAGCGTCCGGGGGGAATTTGTCAATGTCCGGACTTCCCCTCCTCCCCCGCCCCCATGCAGAGCGTGCGCGTGGCTTACAGACCAGCCGGGGCTCCGACAGCCAGAGCCAGAGCCCTGCTTGCACTTCCCCCTCCTCCCTCCTGAAACTTGACACCACTCCCCTCCTCTCCCTCCCTCCCCCCGCCCTGCACTCACAGATCACCGGCCGTTCGCCTGGAGCTCCGAGCCTGCTGCCCTCCCCCGCTGTCGAGCGCGCTGCTCTGCAGCACAGTAAGGGGGCCGGAGGGGCCAGAGAAGCGGCAGGGAGGTTCGGGGGGGGGGGTAAGTCG